AAGGAGGACAGAAGAGAAAGTCCAGCATAGGTCAGATCAGAACCCGGAGAGAGGGGAGAAGGAAGGAGAGGCGCTATCAGAAAAGAATGGTGGAGAAGTCTGCAGAATGGTGGCACACGCAAAGTACAGCAAACCAGGTAAATACAAAGGAGCCATACCTAGACACACTGTGGTGACACTGCAGAGTACCAAAAACAAAGAGACCAAAAAGCAGCCAGGGAGTTAGGACAGACCATCACCTATAAAGGAAGGACAATTAGGCTGGCAGCCAACGTCAACAGCAATAACCAAAAAGGAACAAATAGAAAGCGAAAAAGTAAGATGATAGAAACAAGGCCAAACATGTTAGTAATCACAATAAATGTAAGCAGATTAAACTTTGAAATTAAACAATACAGACTGCGAGACTTGATTGAAAATATCCAGCTATCTGTGTTTTAAAGGAGACATACCTCAACATAAGGTCACTGGAAGGTTGAAAGAAATTAGATGTTAAAAAGATATGACAAATACTAATCAAAAGAAAGCTGGACAGGCTATATTAATACCAGATAAACTAGACTAAAACAGAAATATTATTAGAATCAGAAGGGGTCAATACATCATGATAAAATGGCTGATTCACCAGGAAGATGTTCTAAATCTAAATTTGTAAACTTGTAAACACCTTGTCAATTAGCCTCAAAATATACAAAGAAAACACTAACAGAACAACCGGGAGAAATTAAGAGCTCCACCATCCCAAAGGGAGATTAACCCTTTAATGGCTGACAAAAAGTTAGGAAAGATGAGATTTGAATTTATCGATATATAGAGGCGGGGAATATATGTTCTTCAAGAACATGGGGGCCAGCCTGGTGGCGTAGCGGTTAAGTTCACGCACTCCACTTTGGCGCTGCGGGGTTCGCAGGTTCCGATCCGGGCACGGACTGATGCACCACTTGTCAAGCCATGCTGTGGCAGCATCCCATATATAAAAGTAGGGGAAGATGGGCACAGATGTTAGCCCAGGGCCAATCTTCCTCAGCACAAAGAGGAAGATTGGCAATGGATGTTAGCTCAGGGCTGATGTTCCTCACACACACAAAAAAGAACATGTGGAATAGTCACAAAAACTGATCACATTCTAGGCCATAAGGCAAGTCTTACCAAATATTAAAGAATTTATTGCATATAGACTGTCTTCTGTAACCACGGTGCAATTAAGCTAGAAATAAATAAGAATTTTTTTAAGGTTCTCCGTTTGAAGTTTTTAAAACGCTTATTTAATGATTCATAAGTTAAGAAGAAATCACAACAGAAACTTTAAAATACCTATAAATGAATGAAAATGAAAATACAAGTCAAAACTTGTGGGGTACACAAAAGTGGAACTTAATAAAATATTTATAGCCTCAAATGCTATAAATGAAATAGAAGAGGCTGAAAATTAATGAGCTAAGTAGCCAACTAAGAAATTGGATACAAGAAAAGGAAGCCGACCAGGGTGCTGCTCTAAAATCCAGAGATCCCAGCCACACAAAAGGAGAAGGATCGGAAAAGATGAAAGAAAACCAAAACGATTCCACGATTCACTAAAGATGCAATTGCTTAGCAAGGTTATTCCATGGAAGACACTCAATGTGATGTCGACCTCATAACACAAAAGTGAACTTCCAGGAGTTTAAGGGTTTGTGTGAACAGCAAAACTTGAAATATTGTGGAAGAAAATACAGAATGTCTTTCTGATTGTAGGGAAGGGAAGGGAATTTCTTTAAGACAAAAATCAACTAAAATAACAAACTTCTTTTCATCAAAAGGCGCCAGAGGTGATGGCTGTAACTATGGCTCAGCCAAAAAAAAAAAAAAAATGTGTGGTGCATGTGTGTGCAGAGAGAAAATAATGCAAAGGTGGTCAAATGAATCTAGGTCAAGGGCGTATGAGGGTTCATTAGTGGATTCTTCCAACTTCTCCGTAGGTTTGAAATTTTTCAAAATGAAACATTTGGGAATTTTGTTTTAAAGAAAAAACAACACAAAGAAAGTGAAAAGACACACCACAAATTGGGAATTTAATCAATTCCAACATACACATTTTTTCCCACACATTTTAACTTTTCTAAAATTGGGATACATATGACAATTGATAGCATGCAATAGTTTAAGTGACCACATTTTTTATCTTTTTTCAGTGGTTCATGAAATAACGGTGTGTCAGATTTGATAGAAGGAAGTATGTGCAACACATGTAACAAAGGATCAGTATCCAGAATATATAAAGAAACCTTACAAATAAACAACAAAAAAAAGACATATAGCCCCAGAAAAACTTCACAACATTGGACTTGGCAATGATTTCTTGGATATGACACCAAAGGCAAAGGCAACAAATAAGAAATAGACAAATTGGAACCATAGAAAAGATCAATGAAACAAAGAGCTGGTTCTTTGAGAAGATAAACAAAATTGACAAGCCCTTAGACAGACTCACTAAGAAAAAAAGAGAGAAGGCTCCAATAAATAAAATTAGAAAGGAAAGAGAAGAAATTACAATGGATACCACAGAAATACCAAGGATTATAAGAGAATAATATGAAAAACTATATGCCAACAAATTAGACAATCTAGAAGAAATGGATAAATTCTTAGACTCACACAACCTCCCAAAACTGAATCAAGAAGAAATAGAGAGGGGCCGGCCCCGTGGCTTGGTGGTTAAGTGCACGCGCTCCGATGCTGGTGGCTCGGGTTCGGATCCCGGGCGCACACCGAGGCACCACTTCTCCATCCATCCTGAGGCCGAGTCCCACATACAGCAACTAGAAGGATGTGCAGCTATGACATACAACTATCTACTGGGGCTTTGGGGGGAAAAAATAAATAAATA